TCTCTCTCTCTCTCTCTCTCTCTCTCTCTCTCTCTCTTTCTGTGAGGCCGACTCTCCCTCTGTATTCTGAGCTGGCCTAGCTGAGGCTGGCCTCAAACTCATGGTAGTCTTCCTATCTCAGCCTCCTAAGTGCTGGAATTACAGGTGTGCACCACCATGCCTGGATGGAATTTTTCACTTTTCAAATTCTTGTATACTTTGATTAGATTATATAATTTTTTTTTACCATTTTCAGATGATTTCAATACAGGATGAAAGTTATTTGTTCCATAGTTTGTTTTTTGATATCATTATACTTACCAGGCATGTGGGAGATACATGTGCTATGATGGCTAATTTTGATCATCACCATGATTTGTTTGAAGGGCACCAAGGAGATCTGGCTATCTGGTTAGGTCATGGGAATGTGGCTTTGGGGACTCTATCTAGCCTGGCTTCTATTCTATGGCTTTTTCCTTATTGTATTTCTTAGATGCCACAAATAGGCAGATTTCCTTGGCCATACCCTCCTGCTGCCCTGTGTCTGCCTTTAAACCATTGACTGAACCCTCTGAAACTGTGAGCCAAAATGAAACACTTCTCCTTAGAGCTGTGTACGTCAGATGCGTTGGCACAGCAGCTGTGTCAGATGCATTGTCCCAGTTGCAAAATGGTGACTAATGCAGGTGCTAAAACATTTGGAGTAAACAGATCTCCTGCTGAAATACTTCTACAGACCCTTATGAACTAGACATTTTCTATTTATGAGCCTCACATGATATTAACCTAAAAATACTAGAGACCACTAAAAATTGGAAAGTCCACTGGTTATTCTTGGCCATTTCTGGAAAGTGGGAAGAAGTTGTTTTATTAGTTAGGAAAAAAAATGGTTGAATATATAACCTAAATTCTTTCATGGACAGCTCTTTGGTGAGAAAACAATGACGTTTCACTGGGACACTTTAATAAATCCTCATACTATATATTTTGTTTCTAAACATTGTGTTCTTTTGCAAGATGTACTTTAAAATTTCTGCACAACGGAAACTTCGCTGTGATAGTACTCTTGCCAAATTTCTGGAGAGCAATATATACATAAAACTTCATTGCTGACAAAATTATTCAGTTAAAGAAGGAAAAAGTAAAATATTATAAATAGTATCTGTTAGGCTACAGCAAAAATGTCTGGGCTTGCAAGACTACACTTACTTCCATTGAGTCTTAAGTATTATACCCTGTCACTTAATATCAGATGGTATTTGGACTTTTAAAAAACATCAGAACCTCAAATATAAAATTTTTCCCCCTAAACTATGTACTCTCCAGCATATGGTAAAATTTTCCTTGAAAATTCTGTGGGTCTTATAAAAAACAATTTTTTTTCTTGAACTAAATCCTTTGTACACAGTCTGTTAATAGGATTCATAGTGATTGATTTTTTCTTTGTTCTTTTCCAGGTAGATCTTTTGATGGTGACCTATTTTGCAGTGAAATTGGCAAGTAGTTAACAGAAATAAAAGAAAAAAGAAAGCAAGAAGGAAGGGACCTGTTTAATTTTCAAATTTAATAAAAGTCTGTGGTTGATTGAGAGTTGGCAGATATAATGTTTTGAGTCATGCCCTGCCATCTAGAGAGAAGTATTTCCTATCTGCACCATGTCCAAATTGCAGGCAAACACTGTCCAGGGATGCTGCCTGGAATTCATCTTTTTCCAGGATTTAAAAAGAACATAAATCCATAGTGTTTTGAATGACTAAGTTTGTACTGAATTTTTTTCTTCCTTTTTCTTTCTGGAGGAAAGTCAGTCAACCCTGTCTTCATCCTTAGCTTCCATTCTTGAATAGATTGTAAGTCAAAGCAGAAATATTCAATAAAGGAGTTGTCTGTGATCTAAGAATATATTTATTATAACATCCAATCTTGAAAGCATAAGAAAATTATAACAAAGGGAAACTTAAACATAAAAATAGAAACATGATAAATAATAATTACCTTTTTTCATTGAAAAAGCTTTAAATTACAATATATCTACTGAGTAACTATTAGTCATTTAAACAAATAGAATTCACTCTGACAATATTTATTCAACAATAATATATATCCACACAGACTGAGTCTGCATTTTCCTCACAATGAATTTAAGTAAAGTAGACATAATAGTTAATTTAAAGATTACCAAAAGCAAAAAAGTTAATTCCTTAAATTGCTTTGCACTTACTACCTATAATAAAAAGCCCAAAGCATTAGCTTGAAATATTTCATAAAATCAATTTTTTTAGTTGTTTTGTGTCTGTAAAAGCAAATTGTACTTTGAAAATGCCGCACATTCATTATTTATTCAGATTATATGAAATTTTGAAGTTATTCTTTTGGAAGGTGATTTATGTTATATTTTTAATATCTATACATAAAAAGAAAAGACATTATTAATCAAATTATGTACTTATATAAGTATTGCATAATTTCATATAAGAAATTAATTAGATATTATGCTTTCATAATGGTGAAATAACAATGAAAATGAGACATCTATCTATTCACAGTATTTTCATAAAAACAAAGTATAAAACATTTAATGTATTTCCAACACGCACCATTTTTATTTTACAATAAGTAGATTTTTTGGCTTTGAGACAATAAAAACCTAGTGATATATAGATATATCTATATATCTATATATCTATCTATCTATCTGTATATATATATATATATATATATATATATATATATCGGTCTCAAACCAGATACCTTTGGCTAATAACTAAATTAAATATCTGAGTTTATTTTTTTAAATCAAGTGAGTGAGGTAATATTTAAGGTTACCTCTTCAAGAATTCTCTCAGGTGCACTGTGCAGGCCTGTTCTAACCCCACTGGAGAGGGTTTCCAACCAATGTCTGGGGTCTCAAGGTTGCTTCTGGAGAGAAGGAGGTACCATAGAATGCAAGGGACATGCTTGAAGTATCCCCTTTATTAATTCTAGTATTAATCAATGTCAGTGTCCTAATATTTGGTCCACACCATTTATTCAAAATATATTCTATTAATTTTATAGTACCTTGAAGGTAACACATTAAAATGTGGTTTGATGTCAGCAGCATTAAGCTGCATGGCACCTTTTGTTAGCGCATTGGTAAGAATACATCTAGACGGAATTTAGAAGCTTGATAGTTTTGCAGAGGACTTGCAACGAAATTGTTGTTTTAAAGCAATATCACTGAGGTCTCAAGAGGGATCTCATATGAACATCCGTATACAAGCCATGTGGCTGTTAAAACTTGTAGAATTAAGACTGACTTAAAAAAAGTCAATCCTGACACTTCAGGAAAAAGGAGATGTAAACAGTTGTGAAATCTAATAGGAAAGGTTAAATTTAAAGAGCTCTTATTTACTTTGAATGTTAAGCAAAAGTAAATAATTGATTTGAATATTAGTTTTTCAAACATTTTCACTCTGATAGGCCTATCATAAAATGTTTATGGTGCTTTAAAAAAATCTTTGAAAGAAGGAACCAGTTGGTAAAACAATTGACAAAGAGTGCAAACAATGAGGGCAATGTGAAATACTAGACAATATTTAAGCAAACAAGTTTCTTCAGGCCATCACTGTGAATGGTGTGGCCTCACAAAAAGCAGATCCCATTTTGCAGTAAAGAAACCCTGACAGAAATCTCAACACCACTCTGTACATCCTGTCCAGCCAAGCACATATGCAAACGAACTGTAAAAATCGCTGACAAAAAAACTCTTGTGTCGGTATCTATTCTCAGCTCATTCTGAAAGAATGACTAGAGGAAGGAATAACTGATAAACTGAATTTCTAATGTGTAAACATATCACTTAAAATGTTTCTGCTTCTTGATTTATCAGAAAGGGTAATAACTCGGGGAGGGAAGCGAAGCTGCTATTGTTTACAGTAGATTTAAACTTGTACAGTAAGAGGAAACAAAGCATGTTCTTGGAATACTCTGTTTAAAACTTTTTCAATGAGGATTCCAGAGCAGCCATAATGTTAAACAGATGTATTATTGTTTAGATTTAAAGTAAGAGGGAGCAGTGTTTGTACATATATGCAGAATATTTGGCCTCAGAATTTATTGCTTTCACAAGAAATATGTAGAGACAAAGCACTGCTCTAACATTATATTGCAGATGAAAGAAAGATGGGTCACCAGTTTATTACATGATAAATTTTGACTGCTAATTAAATTACTCAACTCAATGATTTTAAACAATGACTTTTCATAACTTGGAAAATGCATTTTTTCCATGGGTCAGACTGAAAGCTAATCTTTATGTGTAGTACTTTTTTTGATTTCATGTATTTCTCATAAAGGTGACAAGCTTATAGGATTCATTGTGCTTTGATATTGTCTCTGAATTAGCTAATCTATACAGTATGGCATGATAGTTTCCTTTTTATCTTTTGTAAAATTTTTACTAGCATACATTTGCAGTACATAATGTTTACATTCCTTGTGTGGACCTGATACATGTACATAACATATTTTAATTTCTTTTCTCCTCTCCTCTCCTCTCCTCTCCTCTCCTCTCCTCTCCTCTCCTTTCCTTTACTTTCCTTCCTTTCCCTCTCCCTCCATATGAGAAAGAGCAATCTTTTGCCTCCTTACATCTGTCATTCACTTTGCTCTTTATTTATAATTTATATTTCTCATATAGGAGAATTCAGGTGATAGTTAAGCTTATGTGTTTATTTTCCTGAACAACATACATCAATTTCCCTGTGAATTACTCTTTCTTGAGAAATTTATCTTTCTTTATGGTGGAGTAGTACACCTTTGCATGTACAGACTTTTTCCATTCATCTGTTGGTAGACATATAGGCTATTTCCAAGATGTAGCTACTTGGAGTTTTATGCTATAAGTAGAGGTGTATGCCTGCATCACTGTCACATGGTGGCATTCATTCTTTGGGGAAGGTGCCTAGAAGGGGAAAAGCTTGGGCAAATGGAATTTTTAGTTTTGTTTTTTGAGGAATCTTCCTACTGATTCCCATAGTGATTGCATTTGCTGCACAGCAACTTCACAACTGAACACTGATTCAATGTCCCCTACAAACGTGGATGAAATTTAATTGTATTCTTGCAACACTGCTAAGAAGTAAAACCATTAGGACTGAGCAAGTCATGGGGGCTCTGCTTCCCTGAATGGATCCAAGCCATTACTATGGGAGTGGGCCCCAGATAAAGCGGTGAGCATGGCTTCTTTCTTTTCTCTGGCTTATGTACAGGTGCTTAACTTGGCAGGTTGGATACCAGCACCATGGTCTTGAGCTTCCTGGTGTCCAGAACTGTGAGCCCTAGAAGCTTCTGTCTGGTGTTTATAAGTTACCCATTCTGCCATAGCAACAGAAAACAGACTAAGCAGCGGAGTGAGTGTGGCAATGCTGATACCTCAAGAGATTTGGATTTCAGTTTCTTCAGCTGCATTCTCAGAAATGTGACTGCTGAATCATATGGTAGTGGAAGTATATGATGGTATTCGAGGACTTGCCACATCAGTTTGTATAGCAACCACACTGCTGGAGATCAACCATAGAAACTGATACTAACTTGACTTTCCCCAAGCTGTTGTTTTAAGGAATTATCACATTTACCCATTCACTGTTTTAAGCTTTGTTAAATATGTATGCATGAGCATACACAACTGCTTTGATTTAATGGCTATAAAATTCCTTTCCCCCTACTATCCCAGAGTTTTTAAAAGATCTTTTTTATGTATTTAGTACAAGGTCTACAGGATCTTACCACACAGATCAGACTCATAGTGATCCTCATGTTTTCAGCCTTCCAAGTGCTGGGATTACAGGCACGCTCCCACGCCCAGTCTCAGTTGCTGTCTCCCAGCACCCTAGGGTGGGGCCAGCATTGCACGCCAGGGACCAAGCCCAGTCACTGAACCTGACTAAGCAGGCTCTTTAGTCCACTGAGCTGTCTGGCCAGTACTTTTGCCAAATTTTTGATGATTTTTATATAGTTCACGTATTAGCACTTTCCCAAGAAGTAGAAGCTGTAAGATCTAGATAGAAGATAGACAGATAACAGATTATGGACATTGTCTCATGTGATTAAAAAATGAGAAGTCTCACAATATGCCATCCATAAGCTGGAAAGTCGAAGAAAGCCCATAGTATAAAACATGTCATTTGAAGACACAGGAGCCAGGATCTCCAATACTGGAGGGTAGGGATGGATGTCCCATTTAGAAAGAGAAAAAAAAATCATCTTTCCTTCAGCGTTTTACTCTATTAGGTCCTACAGACTGAGTAATGCCCAACTATATTAATGAGAGTTGATCTCTACTCAGTATACTTATTGAGAGGTTTTTTCTTCTGAAAAACAACCACATAGCCATATTCAGAAGTAATGTTCTAACAGCTGTCTTGGCACCCCTTACCACAGTCCATTTGACACATATAATTAACCATTAGATTCTGTTATCTTTATGATGGCTGAATGAAGGAGTGACAACTCTGCAACTTGGAGTTGGCATTTCCCTTAGGCTTTTTGATGTATTCCTTCCTAAATTATGATTATGTACCAAAAAAATGACTCTTCTCTTGTTGCTGACATCTCTGAAACCATGGCCAAAATCTTGCTATTTTCATCAGGGGCAGAGAAGTTTTCTATCGACTTACCAGTTTTGTTTCCTCTCTCCATGATGTCTATCTTGTGCACTAAACTGTCATTCACTGTCATGTCCAGTGTCCTGGGGAAGCCCACCCCCCACTAATCTTACCATGGGCAATGATGCCTACTGATTTACTGCTTACTGTGCTATCTGCAGAAAACAATTTTTGAAAGTTTCTGAATTGTACTTTTAACTTGTCAAGTAAACTAAGAAAAGAAAAATAGCTCAGGTGCTGTGGTACATAACTACAATCCCAGCACTCTAAAAGCTGAGGCAAGATGATCCCAAGCTTTATTCCAGCCTTGGCAATGCAGTGAGACCCTGAATCAAAAGGAAAAATGAAAAAAGGCAGGTGATATAACTCAGAGCTGAAGTCTGGGTTTAATCCTAGATCATTTACACAAAGCAGAGAGAGAGAGAGAGAGAGAGAGAGAGAGAGAGAGAGAGAGACAGACAGACAGACAGACAGAGAGATGAGGAGGGAGAGAGAGAGACAGAGTCAGAGAGAGAGACAGAAAGACAGAGAGAGAAGGAGAGAGAGAGGGAGAGAGAAGGAGAGAGAGGGAGAGAGAGAGAAGGAGAAAGAAAGGGAGAGAGCGAAAATGAGTAATATGGTCTTGAATGTTAAGGAAAACATTGGAGTAACGTGCAGTTTGGTAAGTGAGGTAATCTGAGGCCACCCGTTGCGTGGTTGAGCTCAGATGTGCCATATGACTCGAGCTTTCGCTGTGCACAACAACAGCATGGCAACAGATGGTTTTAGAGAACAAATTCTTCTTAAAATCTCAGAGTGCTTCCAAACAAATTTGCCTTTAGGAAGGGCTACAAGTTATTTTTAGAGCACATTTGTTGAGATGCCAGTTCACACTGCATTGTGTTTCTCCCAACTGAAATAGAAAGTGGCCCCCTTGATTTCCCTTAGTTTGCTTGTCTTTCATGATCCAAATGTTTCTGTACATCACCGGTCATTACCAACAGATTAAACTGCAACTGTATAGTCAGTATCAGGATTTCATAATGAGAATTCTCTATCTATGTTAGACAGAGAGGCTTATCAAAATATGTGGCAAAAGTTTAAGTAAATTTATTACAGTAAAAGATACATTGAGATTAATTTCCACCACAATATGTCATTTCATTTCCATTACACTTATCCCATTATTATAGACAATTTTTGAAGCAGTTCTCGCAGTTCTTATTTGTGAATGTATTTACAAGTAGTAATAAAATATACAAAGCATATTGAGCTAAATAAAGGTGTGTAAAC